CCTCTGCTATCTCAAACTCTTTAGTGACTCCATCCCCAATTCCCTGAATCCATAAGCTAATGAATTTTTTTCAGGTCTGATGCTAGAAGCCATTGGACACCAAATTTTTCCTTTCGGTGCATGCTGGGAAGAGAGTGCCTGCCTACATTTTAGGACTTTATGTTTTAAGAAAAAGTAAACGTGTAGTGGTCACAAGAAAAAATGCTGAGAAAATAAAAGCATGTACATCACCAAACCAACAAAGACTTTAGTTGAAGAGCTAAGACACCGTTAGTTAGACACCTGTGTTTCCCACTTTATTGAATACAGATGCTGCCAGTTAACATTTTAAGATTAGGATAAATGAGTCTCAGCAGTTGTTTTCTCTTTTAGTCCTGTTTTCTCTTTTAGCCCACGGTGAAAGTCTTCCTAATCCAGACCTTTCTCTAGTTGAGGTCTTGGCAAAATTACCAAGAATAGTATGCATGTCCCAGAATAGTTTTCTATTTGGTGAATATTCACATTATCAGAATATTTCCAGGTGCTCTGTATACATTAAGACACCTCATTGTAAGGGAGATGGATGCAGATGGAAAGAAATAGGTATTGTTCTAAGAATCAGATATTAACTAGATGTTCACCAACAATATCAGGATATTGACCCTACTGACCCTATCCTTACTGAGTGGCTGGATTTTTGAAAGACTTACTCTGAGGCATGGGAAAATTAAGTTCTGAAAAATCTTACATATTTAGTCAAAGCTGGTCAGTAAGACTAAAAGACTAAGGTCTTATACTCAGTCTTATACACTTAGTTCCTCAACTTGCCATTATTATTAAATAATAAAATATGAATGAAATGATTTTTGAAAGCCAGACACAATATGTATTTTGCCTTCTGAAACTTAATTGCTTTGTAAATTTAGTCTGGGTTAGTTGGCCCAGTTAATCTAACAAAACATGCAAACACGTGGTATAATAATAGCTAACACATAACTTTGTATTATATATATACCAGGCACTGTATAAAGCACTTTATATATGATAAAAATGAAGCAAAAAGAGGTTAATTTACCTAAGGTGAAACAGCTAGTAAAGAGTCAAACCTGTGTCTCTGTGTTTTTAATAAAAGATTTTATTAATTTTTAGAGAGAGGAGAAGAGGGGCAGAAAGTAAGGGAGAAAAACATCAATGCATGGTTGCCTCTCGCCTTCCTCCTACTGGGGACCTGTGGCCCACAACCCAGGCATGTGCCCTGACTGGGAATTGAACCAGCGACCCTTTGGTTCGCAGACTGGCGCTCTATCCACTGAGCCACACTAGCCAGGGCTTAATAGATTTTTAGAGAAAGAGAAAACATCAGTTTGTTGTTCCATTTATTTATGTATTCATTAGTTGCTTCTTGTATGTGCCCTGATTGGAGATTGAACCTGCAACCCCGGTGCATTGGGACAATGCTCTAACCAACTAAGCTACCTGGCCACAGCCCAGTGTCTCTATTCTAACCACTATATTCTACTTTCCAAGACTCATAATGAGGAATAATATATATTGAAGAAACATTTAGCTAGAGGCAAAGGCATAGACTGATTGAAGTTGGCCTTGGATAAGTGAATTAAGGTTAGGGTCAGTTAGAGGAACAAGGTCTTGTTCTGAGAAGGAACCATATACATGTAGGAGGTAAGAGAGGGGGTCCTAGAGGGTTTGAATCCTAGAAGATAATAGTGTTAGGGCAGCAAGATGGTCATAAAGCTAGTTTTACAGATGGCCAGAGAAGTTTTCATGCCCAGTAGGAAGGGCACAAATTAATGGTCAGCAGGTTAGATGCAGACTCACATCATCCCTATCAGAGAACTAGGAATATTTGTAAGAGAAGCAAGGTATGGCCTCTCCTCTGTTAAATATGAGTTTTAACTTTATTATTTATTGAAAAAAATAACTCATGTCTGTGTAAGTACTTTACTGCTTAAAAAACGGTTTCACATACATGAAAAAGTGAACTTAAGAACACTTTTGTAGAGGTAGGATTATACCCATTCCAAAAATGAGTATTATGGTTGTCTATTACTATGTAACTAATATAGTCATGGGAATATAGTCATTTGAAGACTCAGGTGGACTGGGTGTCTGAGATCATTTACCAGCCTGGCTGGACGTTAGTACTGGCCATTCCATAGGAATCCAGCGAGGACCATCAACTAAGATTCCCGTACATGATCTCTGTGCCTTGGGCTTCGCACAAGTGGTAGTGTTCCAAGAGATGGGAAGCAGAAGTTGCTAAGTCATTTAACAGTCATCTAGAATTGGCACACATCAATTCCACTGTGTTATAGTAATCACAGGGACCACCTAAATTCAAGGGAGTGGTGAGTCAGACTCCTTGATGACGTGACAGGGTAACTGCAGAAGAGCATGTGGAATGGGAGACACAGTTGCATTCATCTTTGAAAAATTCAATCTGCCACAATGAGGAAACAGTTTCAGGAATTATTTTAAAAATAAACAGAGTAGTGAACACAGTGCAACAGAGGATGTATTGTAGAATGATACACTTGAGACAAAATATTATTAAGCAATGTTACCTAATACATTTAATTAAAAACAAAACACTTAGGTTGCTCATCACATATCATGAACTCTCGCATCACAATCCTAAAAATAATGAGTTTAGTTAATAGGTGATAATATGCTGATTTTAAGCCAAGCTCTTCAGACTTTAAATCCAGTGTCCATGCGGGGAGATATTTTCAGTTTAATAAAACATTAAGGGCCTACTTTATGATAGGCACTGTGGCAGAAGCTGGGGATGCAAAAATGAGCAAGATCTGGTTTCTACTCTCAAAGAGCTCATACTCCCATAAGGGGGAAAAAATCAATGCGATAAAAACTATCCTAAATTATTCTTGGCAATGTGGGAGAAAACTTGAAAGTGGCCCAGGGCCATTAAAGATGAATAGAGTTTTGCCTGGAAAATAGGAATGGAAAGGTATTATGTTTAGAAAAGACGTGAGAATATATGACAGGTAGTTCTGGCTTAATGTATACTAAAATAACCTGAGGCAAACATCTAGCAATGGTGAATAAAGTAGTTGTTCTTCTTTTTAAATGCATAGCTGAGATTCCAAGAAAAGGTTAAAGCCACAATGAAATAAATTGAAACCTAGAGCAAAAGGCACACAGCTGATGCAATCATCGAAGGGATAATGGGCATATAACTAAAGGACTTGGGTTTTAATGCTGACCACAAGAGACAAGACTGGCCCCGTGCAGGAAGCTGGAACTGAGACCTCCAGTTAAGGCTGGGACCCTGAAAGAGCAATAGCCTTAGTGAAAGGGAGGAAACTAAAAAATTCACCCAGTTGGCAAAAGAAGAAAGAATTTTGAATGCTTGGGTTTGTAGGGTCAGGACACTCTTGAGAATTTTCTCAAATTCTGGCCCCACACTTCATGTGAATCTGAGAACCTAAATGTACACTTCCTGTGTGGTCTGGGAAACACCTCAACCCACACCCCATTCTAAGAACTTGCATGAAAATTGGTCTCAGATGTGTTATCCATGGGGCTGCTCTGGAGAGACATACACAGGATGATGCAGACAACATGGGATACTTACACCATCACCACTACCCCACCAAATAAGAGCTCCAAAAGATTATCTCAGTCAAACCTTCAACACATACAACCAAATACTAGTATCCAGTATATAGATATCTAGAATACTAGTATCTATCTAGAATATATCTAATTAAATAACAAAGACAACTCAATACCAAGAAAAAGGGGAAGGGAGTACGAGTATGAATAGGCAGTTCCTAGAGGATGAATATGCTAATGGATAATAAATCAATATAAATGCTCAACCTTACTGGAAATCAATGACATGAGTTAAAATCAATAGAAACCACTTTACCCCAACAGAATGTGGACGCATTGCCGGTGAGGGTGAAACTGACGTAACTACTTTGGAAAAGCAATAACTAGTAAAGCTAAATCCTCCTTTGGAGAAACTAGCACATGGGCCCACAGGAACATACTAAAATACTCATTGCATTGCTATATATGAGTGGGAAAAAGGTGGAAATGACCCACTGATCTGTCACTAGAGGAATGGAATACATTGATTTACTAATACAATTGGAATATACAGTGACTCTTGAACAACACAGGTGTGAACTGTGCAGGTCCACTTATATGCATATTTTTAAAAGATTTTAGTTTTAGGGGAAAGGGAATAAAAGGGTTGAGGATAGCGGAAAGCTAGGTTTTTTCATGGAAGAGGACTTTCAGGTGAAAGGTTTAGGAGTAGGGGGACAAAGGTCAGAGCAGTATGCACACAGAGCATGGGAGTGGACAGGTGTCCAAGGAAGTTGATATGTGGGGTTAATATGTGACCACCAAGAATGACATAAACTAGCAACCTCAAAGCTCAAAAACGAAATGGTGGCAACAATAATTCTCCTCATAGTTGGATTCTACCTCAAATACACTTTTCTTTCACATCCTCTTCATAACTCTAATAAGACCTGCAGGTAGATTTCTGTATACTGGCACAGTGAGAAGTCGACCTTATGCTAATACTACACCCAGTGAGCTTAAGCAGGTGAACTGCATTACTGCAGGCTACCCGACAACCCCTCCTTTTACGAACTGTGCCTCCTCCACTTGGTACAACTTTGAGAGGGTTTTAAACAGAGGCTTCTGCATTCCTTGACAAAAAGGTGCACGTGTGGCCAGGCCAGCTAGAGTACCCCATCACCTGGACACAGTAACTAGTCCAGGGACAGTCACTGACTAAAAAGGTTCTGGCCTTTAGTCTGTTCAGGGGGTTTATACAGCTGCTGGGAGTCTTTTCTTTGAGATCATGAAAGGTGATATTACTACTTCTAAAACTATATCCCCCCTTCATAGGTTCTGAGAACTCAAGATATAGAAATCCAACCTGAACAGAAAACTGGTAGTTAAGGCCCTACCTCTGGGGCCCGCACCCTATTTAAGTAAATAAACACACCAAGACACAGACAGACATGGCAAAATATTTAATGTCTATAGATATGCCTCCCCCTGCCCCCAATCCCTGTTATGATATGACAGTGTCACCAAACTGGCAGTTCCAGAGAAAACATGGGCACTTATCCCCAGCAGGGTTTGAAAACCATTAAGGCCCTAGATCTCTTGACTTAGATATGATGATAGGCGAGCTCTTTTAGCAGGCCTCAGGCCCCTCTGGTCAAGAAACAGTCCCCTGGGTTCTACAGGCCTCCTGAGGTCTTCTGTTCTTCTGCGGCCTGGCGCTGGGAGGTGCGCCGCTGGAAATAGCGGTAGGCTCGGGCGCTGCAGAGGTAGCCCCCATACACAGTGAGGAGCATCATGGAGGTAGAGAAGGTCTTGTAGCCAATGTCAGCTAGTTGCTTGGCAGTTGGCATGTCGTCCCCTACAAAAACAGACTGGATTTAGACACCAGGATAGCCCTCACGTTCCCAGCCCATTTCCCTGTTTATAGCCATTCCATAACTTCTGCATCTGCTTAGTCTGTCTACTCTATTCTGAATGGTTCCTACATGTATGCACAGTCTTATAGTGGAAGACAACATTTAGGAACTCTAAGATTCAAAAAGGCAAATAAAATCTGCATATGAGATACAGACACACAGCTGGAACCACAGGTGCATCTGAATGACATCACAGCTAACACCCAGCCCTCCATGTTTGTGGAAAGAAGTGCCTGTTACGAACTGCCCAGAAATGTTAATTGGGAACATTAAACACATATCAGTTTTTCTGGCTAGCAGGCAATTAATGGAGGTAGCCAGGGATTAAATGTCAGCAGTAAATTATTCTCTGTAGGAGAATCAAATGGGAATCTTCTAGGCAATATCCAATTTATTTTCCCATAAAAACAATCTTATTCACGGTGGTTAGCCCTCAAGCATCTGTTTAAGCCAATATATACCTGAAACAGTGCCAATAGTACATTTATATTATTTCAATTGTACTTAACCTTCTACAGCATTAATTCTAAGTTCCAAAAACAACACCAAGTACCTGTCCCAAGGGCTAAAAAGAAACTTACTGAGTCCCCAGAAAATTTCTGACTCACATTTGCATGAGATAAATTACTTCTAATTTAACTGTTCCCTGTATACTCTGAACTAGAAAACAAGAGAAAGCCTAGCAGGGCAATGTCTCATCCTAAACAAAACACTCCTCAATTTGGGGCTCAGAATGTGTTCTTGGACTCCTCTCTATTGAGGGAACTGAAATTAAAAGACTGACTGAAATTAGTGAGAATACGTTTCTTAAAAGTCAAGAATTTGGAAGAAGAAAAACCCCCAGTTGGCTTAGAGGGTCAGGAGTAGGATGAGACACAAAAGTGCTTCTCCAAGTGAGTCCTATGGGTGAACATTCCCGTGGAGCCAGTCCTTGACAGGGGAGCCAAGCTAAGCTGAGATGTAGCTTCCTTGAATTATAATTCCAAATGACTTTAAATAAGGTCAGAGGAAAAAAAACAAATGGCATGGGCTCAAGATGAGAAAGGGTTGTGTTCACATTATGTGAGTTTTGAAAGGACCCCAAGTTGCGAGACAGCGAAGAAAAGGCACACACACAGCACAGGATACTACGGTGGTAAACAAGCTCCCAGCAAAGAGACTTGGAGACCTTCAACCTCCCCCTCACTTCTTCTTTCCCCTCATACGCCCCATTACCCAGAGGCTACCTGGCCCACTTCTTGGGAGAACAAAAAGAAAGCTGAAAGCATTCACTAGCCAGGAAACAGGATGGTATAGCTTGGCTAGAAGAGTAACAGAAGATTTATTAACAGACATTATTATGGTTTTTAGAACCTCACTTCCTTCTCTTGCTTAATCCAACCTAAGATTTTTCCTATTTTCAAATTAACAAAAACTCTACACAGACCCTGAGCTAAGGCAGGGCTGTGGAAAAGAAGTTCAAACAAGTTTTATTAACTGAATGGATTAGGGCAAAGCTGAAAATATCTCCAAGTTAGGACACTTCATGGATTGGGACACTGTTAATGGAAATAAGAAACAAGAAGAAACAGGTGTGTGTACCAGGGTGGTGGTGGCAATGTCAGTCAAGAACATGAGATGGGTTTTGGACATGTTAAAAGTAAGATGCTCAACACAACATCAGGTTATGATGTCTATCAGGCAGATGGATATGCAAATCTGGACAGATCTTGGCAGAGATACAGATGGAGGTAAAAAGTGACACCAAAACAGAAGGCAAGAGAGAGTGGCCAAGGGAACACCAGTTTGAAGGACTGGGTGCCAGCCTGCAGACGGAAAGATTGCTGGTTCAATTTCCAGTAGGGCACATTCCTGGGTTACTGGCCAGGGCCCCAACTGGGACCTGAGAGAGGCAACCACCATGTTTCTCTCCCTTTCTCCTTCCCCGACTCTCTAAAAACAAATAAATTTTTTTTTCAAAAGAGCAAAATAATCAGGGAAAGAAAGCAGGTAGGAAATTCCAAAAACTTCTGGAGGGCTTTTTCATTTTACTACATCCCTTTCCCTAGTTGAAAATCACTGGTGCATCACTTCATTACCACTGATGGAGGTGTGCTGTATCTTTTAGGTGTGTTGGGCCAGAATGAAAGTTGGGAACCACTACTGCAAAGTTAGGTGGGATCACTAAATGGGAATAGGTGACTAGGTCACAGGTAACCCTAGGGTAAAAGTTAATTTAGTGAACTGAACTGGATGAGGCATTAATAAGCAAATCTTTAGTCAAGGCCCCAGGCAGGCCCCTGAAATTTGACACTCCCCAAAGTCACAGCTACTAGAGCCAGAGCGTGGAGGGCCAAGACGCCGGTAAGTGTCAAAAGATTTGACAGAAACCTACAGGGACAAGAAGTTTGTTGGACTAGAAGCAGTGCAAATCGCGGCTTCGGTCCGCGGCGCAGGATAACACCAGTGACTTCAAGGACACGCAAGCCTGAAGCCTGGGGCATGGGAAAATGCGGTGAGCAAAGGCCAACCCAAACAGGCGCTCCTCAGCTCGCTCCAGCAGTCGGCGTACCTGGATGCTGCAGCTTCCTCCAGTCCAACCGAGGCCTCCTCCGGGAGCGTCTCCTCAACGCAGTCTGCGCAGCCCGCGGCGGACCCAGGAGTCGGCACGTGAGGCTTGTGTCCAGAACGACCCTAAACGCTGAGGCGCTATTGGTGAGAAACGTCACCCTTTCTCCCTCCCACCCGCTCCGTTAAGCCTCTAGGATTCGGCTTCCAATGCCTGAGCGTGCAGGACACTGGACAACTCCACCCACTGAAACGAGAGAAACGTCGCCGCGGCTCCAGTGGGATGCGGTCCTTGAGCTTCCGGCTTCCGGTTCCAATCACCCTTACTACCAACCGCCGATCGGTTTTTCTTTCCTGAGGCCCGTTGAATTCTGGGAGTTGTAGTCATTCTCTATTGAGAAAGGGTCTTAAGTGACTCGGGCGGAGCTTTTAGGCTACTCAGTCACGATGGAAGAGACGACCTTTCTCGCCTACTCAATCAACCAGCCAATCCCCAGTCTACGGCGCGGTAACGACTCGGGTAGCTAGGTAGATTCTCTCGGGGTCCCCCTGGAAGTGGACCGTGCGCCCCCTAGAGCCTCGAGATGCCCTCCTTCCTGTGGCCCGGCTTCGGCCAAGCTCAGGTAAGAAGAACCCGACCCGCATCGCGGTCTCAACCGCCGAGGAGGCGGCAAGTCTAGCCACGGCGTAGGCACGAGGGATGTTTCTGTCCGGTGTGTGACCTCTCCACTCGCAGGTGGCGTGATGAAGCCTCAAAGAAGCGTGGGGAAGGGAAGGGGAGGGGTTGCCCCTTTGGGGAGGACAACTGCGTGGGCACCACAACTAGGGGCAGGGAATGTCTGGGATTATGAGGAGGGTTTTCCTCTTTCCTGTGTTGTGAATGAAAACGTACACACGCGGTGATACACCACAACTTGCGAACCCACGTGCACTGAAGTGCTCTTCCCCAACTCATTTCTAGTAAAACCACTTTTTATTGGGTACACAAATAGGCCTGATTCGAAGGCCTTAGATTCAGTTGACTTTGGAGTGAACAACTGAGGGAAGGAAGCTGGTTTCCTGCCCCCACATTGACCTCCTGTATTAAATCAGTGCCCCTGACTGGGCCCAGCCAGATCTGGGACAACTGTGCACCTCGCTCCTGCTGCCTGATTCAGGCAGCTCTGCGCTTCACTGGAAAGTGAATTCTCAATGGCTAGAAGCTGAGAGGAGCCTGCCTCCCTGGTCGCCAGGCCAGGAATAAGGGAGGGTTAATATAATGCTGGCCAGAGCCATAGTATGCCAGGTGCTGCCACTCAGGAAGCTGAGACCCTGTACTGGACCGGAAGGAGCGTCATAGGCCCTCAGGGACTATTTATAGCCAGGAGCCTAGGCTGCTGACCTGTGATATTCTCCACTGCCACCCCGTTCTGGAGCTAAGCCAGGCAAAGCACACGTCTCTCCCTCCTCCCCTTTCTGTTCTTCCCTTACCCTAGGGCAGCAATTTTCAGGCAGTGTGTGATGTGCCCAGTGATGTGCCCACAAGAGGCACACTTCTGTGCCGCACAGACTTTTATAACATGCAATACCTGACTCTTTAGTCAGAGGCATTGTTTTCCCTTAAATTGTCAAGATGAAAAAAAAAAGACAACAGCCAAAACGACAATAGCCATCCAGTGTGAACAAATCAAAATTATATCTGTTATCTTGTCAGCTCAGTAAAAAATAGTATTTTTGTGTTACATAATTTTAGTAGTTTATGTGTGCCATGAAATGAAAAAGGTTGAAAATCACTACCTTAAAGGGTAAGATGGTTTTAATTTTTTTTCCTCTTCCATAAGTTTCCTAGCTCTCAGGGTACTCATATATACCTTGTTGAGAAGGCAGATGATGGAGGAGAGCTGGCCTTGGAATGTCAGGACCCACCAACAGAGGATATGCTCGCCCTTCCTTCCCCCTGCTCAGCCTTTGGGCCACTCTCTAGCTCCCTGGCTTCTAGATACAGGTACTTGTTAGCTGCCCTGGTTGCTCTGGAGGCAGCTGAGAAATAGGTACAGGATTTGGGAGAAGGAAAGGGGTGGAATCAAGGATATTCTGGGGAGATAGCAGGAGGAGGGACCCAGCTGAAACCTCCCCTGCCATTAGAGCTCCTGAGAAAGGAAGCAAGGCAGATCCAAAGGTCACAGGGAGCAGAGTGATCTGAGCCTGCTATGAAAAGGTGTAGCTCTGTCAGCAGATTAAGTTCCTGCTCCCCAAAGAGGGTGCTGGTAGGGAGAGAGAGGGAAGGCTTGCAAAGGTCACACACAGTGGGGAGGAGCTGGCAAAGAAGTAGGAACTGGGAAGTCCATGGGGAGAATGACAAGCCCCAGGGCCAGAGATGCCAGCGTGGCAGCTAACTCTGGTGCCAGGGCAGCCTGGGGGAGGGGAAAGGGAATGACCAGAGGTTTCTGAGGACGCAGATGTTGCTAGGAGAAGCTAGAAGGGGGTTGAGATCTTTGTATTTTGTTAACAAACACTGAGATCCATTGATGCTGAGTGGGGCCTGGCATAGGTCAGACAGAGCAAAGGAGTCCCTATGTCAGCTCAAAATCTCAAACCACTCCCTGACAGGCCTCTCCTCATCTCTCTTGTAGCTGAGATAGTTCTTTAGCCACTCAACTGGGCTTGGGGACAGGATTCCTGTTCTGTGTAATGCAGTAATGGGTGGCCATTGCTTTACCTCCCTCTCCCTCTACCCTCTGCCCCACCACACATGCTCAAAGTAGACAGTGCTGGGGCTTCTCATAGGGCAGGGAGAAAGCCCCACATTTGGAGAGGGACAGGCATCTCCATTCCTGGAAAGATGTGGCAAGAGGCTGCAGGCTGCTTGGTGGTTCAGGATTTCCAGACAGATTGATGGGCCCCACAGCTTCCTGTTCTCCAGGGAAAAGCAGAGAAGAGGCTTCTGTCTGGGGAGACCCAGAGATCCTGGTGGCCAGGTACCCAAGCTTCTGCCTGTGTCCACCAAGATAAAGAAGCTTCCTGGCCTGGGCCTCAGCCTTGTTCACATATGTGCTGGATGATTCTGCAGGCAGCGGATGAATTCACCCACTGGCTGGCTTTCATAGCATACCCTGTACACAGCCATGAACAGAGGGAACCTAGAATGGGGAAGGAGAGACCCAACTTAGCCTCTTCTTATGTCCCCTACCCACCACTCCCCGTTTCTACCTGACCCTCCACTCTCCTAGCCTCCCACCTTGGAGTTCAGGCAGACTCTGGCTCTCAGTTTCCAGTTGCTGAGAATTTGAACTTCCTGGCTCTGGGTTTTAGGATCAGGTCATTAACTGCCTTTCTTCCTATCATATTGAACTTGCTGGCATTCCCAGGAATTGTTTTATTCCAAGTGGACAAGCCACTTGACCTCTGTGAGCCTCAGTATCATCAACTGCAGAATGGGGCCAATATAACAAAGTAGTGAAGTGATTTTGTATTCTATGAAGGTGCTCAATAAATGAGTTTCCTTCTTATCCTCTTATCCAGGTTGCTAGCTTTATGAGGAGGCTTTATCCTGACCAGCCATGAGCTACTCTTCTGAACCTGTTTCATACTCTTATCTTATTTCAGGATTCTTTCTCAGACCACCAGAGCTCTGCTCCGATCTGCCCATCACCCCATCTGTCTTCGTGCTTCATGTAAAGCAGCACCTTGAAGTAGAGACTGTTCTTACACCTCAGTACTCAGGACAGCCGTCAGGGACAGAGGGTTGGCTTCTGGGGAGCAACATAGACTGACTGAGGGTGCTAGACAGAGAAGTGGGACAATCAGGTGAGCTTATTCTTGCTGCCTCAGAGCTCCAAACCCCACAGCAGAGGATGAGGAAAGGATTGAGGGAGGCTATGCAAACAGATCGAAGCAATGTGCTATAAAGAACACCAGATTGCAAAGAGTTTAAAGACCATAAACTAGCTAGGGGACAGAGAGCATATCAGACTCTCTCCAATCTCTGGTCTCTGTGTCTGTTAACATAACATTTCCCTCTCTGCCCACTTCACAGATTGAGAAGGAAGATGAAAAAGGGGGAGAATACTTCTGGCTGTGGTTCCCAGTGGGGCTGGGGCAAACACTTACTTATCCACCAAGCCCTTGTGTTGGAGGATGCTGTGTAGCTCCCGGGCTGTCTGGGGCCCTTGCAGCTTCTGCCCATTCAGCATCTCTTTCTCCAGCTGCTCAATGGACTGTGAAGAAAACAGGATGGGCGGATGGAAATGGGAGAGGAGGATTGTCATTGTGAGATGGAGAGTCTGGGGCTCAGATGAGAGGTGGGAGATCTTAGGAGGAAAGAAAGCCTGGAAATGTTCACACCAAGTTTAATGTCTGTGCTTAAGATATACCTCCAGCCCGGTTCTCTACCTTGACACCTGTAGTGTCCACCTTCCCTTCTCCATTCCCTCTGCGACTCACCTTTCCTGTACTGGCAAACGCCTCTGCCACCTTGCGGTTCCGCCCTCCATAGCAGGTAGTAATGAGGTCAGCAACACCACAGCTCTCCAAGAAGGTGGCAGGGGACACAGGGCCCCTACAGAAGAGTTTGGCGAAGGCGATCATCTCCATGAGCCCCAGCCGGATCACCGCTGCCTTGGTGTTGTCGCCAAAGCCCAGCCCATCGCAGAAGCCAGCCCCCACGGCCACTACATTCTTTGGGGAATGGAGGACACAGTTGACAAAGGATCCCCTCCTGCAAGCCCTACTTGGAGCCCTCACAACCTGCCTCATGCTGCTTCCATCAGCCACTATAAGTCCACTGAAATTAAGGGAAGTACAGTGGGTGGCTCCTCAACTATTTCCTCCTCTTGATTATCCCCTTTGCTATACTCCCTCTTTTTAGCATGGGCTTATGCTTACTGGCTCCCCAAATTAGCTCCATACTCCATCCTTGAGGACATTTACTGAAAACCAATCTTCTCTCCAGCTGGCCCTCTCATCCATGACTATCCCTGATATCCACAGCTCTGTCTAGGATCCAGTGGTCTAGCCATCAATCTCTCTGGGTGTCCTGGACATCTTGTCTCCCATTAGCCTGGGTGCTCTTCCAGGGCATCTCCTCTTCCCTCTGGGCCACCCTCTGGAGCCAGGGGTAGGGATGTCCTGTAAGAAGCTATAAGGAGAAAGGAAGAAGCAGGTCCAGAGTCTAATGATGAATAAATTAGCAGGCCTAAATGACCTTGGCTTTGCTTCTGCAGTTCTTCCTATGTGTATGGGATTTGATGGGAAATAGGAGCAACTGCCTGTGAGTGACAGCCTGGAGTGCCAGTAACCTGGTATAGCTCAGCCAGGCCCTCTTTCAGGACCTTTTCTCCACCCCTTAGCTGCCTCTATACCCCTCTCACCTTCAAGGCCCCACAGATCTCTACTGTGTCCACCTCTTGCACCACTGTGATGCGGAAATTGGGTGTCTGCATCAGTTCTTTCAGAAGTTGTCCCTGGGCCTGGTCCCTGCAGCCTAAAGTAGAGAAGAGCAAAGCTTTAGGGGGTATCGACTCTTTTTCACATGTGCCCTAAGCAGGACCGGCAACCCTTTCCCTGGGGGTATCCCAATCCTCCTTCACTTCTGATGCTTGGGTCTTCCTCCTTTGCCTGCCTAATAGGGAGAAGGCGGCTAACTGGAGTCTGGGAAGGGAGAGTATGAGGAGGGGATGTAACTGGAGCTGCATTATGTGTGTGGGTGGAGGTGGGGCTCTCACCAATGGTTGTCTCACAAAACTTCTCATCAGCCACCTCGCTGGCAATGTTGGCCCCCATCAGCACGCTCATGGGGATGCCAAGTCTCTCCCCAATCACTTCAGAGATGAGCTTCAGCCCATTGGGGCCTTCGTCTACACCCTGGGCACAGGAGGAAGCTCAGACCAGGTGCCCTTAATGCCCAGCTGAGAGAGTCCCACCCAGAAATCCTGCCCTTTCCAAATCTGCTGTTCATCAAAGTCTCTCCCCAAAGGTCCTGCCCCATTCCAACCTAGCCAAAGCTTGTTGTAAGGAGGGTAGTTGGCATATGAAAATGAATCCATCTGAAAACTCTCAAATACCCTCAAATCAACCTACCTCTCCAAGTCAGTGTCTCTCCTCCACATTCCTACACAACCCACTCCAGAGTTCCCCAAACCAGCTTCCATCCCAGCCACTGTTACAAACCAACTTCTCTCACATTCCTCAAACCAGCCCACTTCTCACATCCACAGGCATCTGCTGTAGGCCTCTTAAACTCCCCAATACATCTGCCTCCAAACCAGTCTCTTGTCTACTCCTCAACCAATCTCCCCTTCCCAGCGGTCCCCAGCATGGCTGTTTCTCAAACCTCACCAAGCCAACTCCTTTCCTCTTTCCAGAAAACTCAACCTACTTCACCCACTTTCTGTTTTCCCCACCTCACCCACTCTGTGTCCCGCAATGGTTAGCTACACACTCCCATCCATGTGGCATCTCTGGCACCTTAATAAGAGATATCCCAATGGCGTTTGCCTTCAGGTGGCCCTTGAGCTGATCACAGATCTTGCTGATAAACTGATGTGGCACCACAAAGATCAAGATGTCAGCATCCACTGCAGCCTGGACCACATCTGGGACAGCCACCTGTGGGGTGATCAGTGCTCATAGGCCCAAATGACTTATAACTTCTATGAAGCCCCATTCAGATCTAAAAGCCAAAGAATGAGGTTTGCTTGTGGGGGCAAAGGAAGGCCAGTTTGGGCATTGAATCTGGAAGGGCTGAACTTGGAGGAATAAGACACTATTCCCTCCCCCTAGCCTTCATTCCATCTCAGCTTCAGCTTCCATGGGCTCTTGACTCTCAGAAACCTCCTCCCAGTACCCTCCCAGCCTTTGGCTGTGGGACAGTTAGAGGCCAAAGGAGGCTTGAGTTTGGCAGGAGGAGGAAGCCAAGTAATTTCATCACCCTGCTCCTTAGGGCCCCTAACTGGGAAGGAAGAGAACCAGTCTTTCTGCTGTTTTCCCTGCTGTGGGGAGTGGCCACATAGATTTGACCACTGATTTTAAGTCCAAGGGGCAACTCCAAAGTCTGCTAATAACCCAGTGAATAAGTAACAAGATTACAGCCTGAGGCAGGCACTACCAGAACCCCAGGCCTGGGAGTTGGAGAACCTGTCTTTGGTTACCACAGAAACCAACTTCCTTGTCTTCTCTTAAAAGCCTAGGAGCCCATAAATTGGTGGTGGGGGGGGAGCACATTCAGGTTCTCAGTTCCAGAAAGTGCCCAGGGGAACAGTTTGGGGGCTGTGCACAGAAGTGCCCTGTGCCTACAGCAGCCCACCTGAGACACTTCCCAGGTACAGGTGGCACCTGAAATGGCCCCCCACCTCAGCAGGAGGCACCCCTCCACTTCCCTCTCCCTTCCTTGCAGGGTGCCTCGGCTCACCACATTGGGGGGAAGCTTGTGCCCGGGCAGGTATTTGACATTTTCATGCTGTGTGTTGATGATCTCTGTCAGCTTTCTGCCCCCGATGTCTTCCTCAAACACCCACATGGTCACCCGTGGGTCAAAGCGTACCAGCTGGGCTGCATTGCCACCCACAATCTTGGCGATGGCTGAGCCCCTGGTGGGAGGGGGAGCACAGAAAGTGGAGTGGGAGTGTGAGAGAGGAATGGCGGCAGAGGAAGGGGCACTGTTCCACCTCAGGATATCACAGCAGCCCACCAGAGTATTTACTAGCCGCCTTCCTTGTCACCCCCACTCCACACCCAAGCAGCTCTTCAAGCAGGGAGTGCTCTGGAGGCTCCCTCCCCGTGGCGAACAGGTGCAGGGACAGGCCAGGGCCAGGAGAGGTTTGGGCACCATCTGTCCAATGGGGGCAGGCACAGAAGATAACACCAGAGGCGGAAGAGGAACCAGAGGGTATTTCCAACCCACTGCCTCCTGACCACCTAGGCCCCCATGTAGTTGGGGGATCCCCCTGCCCCCCCATACTCCTTGACAGAGCCACTTACCAGTTGCCAGAGCCTACAATGCAGACTTTCTTGCCGGCCATGGTGCTGCTTTTCTGCCTGAGCCAGCTGGTTCCACACTCCCCAGCTCCTCTGCCTGCTAGGAGCATATAACTCCACCACACGTGGGTGCAGCCAAGCCCCGCCCTCCAGGGGTGGGTGGGGAGGCGAGCGCCCAAGGAGACAGTCTGGCAGAGCCAGGGAAAATGGAGAAAAGAGTAGAGACAGGTGGGGAACGGGAATGGGGCACAGACCAGGCCCCACCTTTCCTCTTAGGTTTGCCAGCTGACAGTGACAGCAGGCTTCTTCCCTTGGCCCCAGCCCAGTCCGCTCTGTCCCTCTGCAACGGTCTCATCTTGAGGTCTGCCAAGAAATAGTCTAGACTGGCCCCCCTCACTCCCTTCTGCCTCCCAGCACTGGAGTTGTGTGCAGCCCTAGTAGCAGACACAGGAATGCTTTCTTTCCCAAGGTATATGCCTTGCATATCTTCCCAGGACCCCCAAAACTGCTCTGCAGTTTTGTCCCCTGGCAGTGACAGAGACCACATATCACTGGCCCCACACTAGCTGCACTGCAGGGCTGTAGCTGAGTGGGGTGGTTGGGTGTGGACCTATTTCTAAAGCTAAGACCACATATGAGGTAAAGGCCTGCTTTGGGGACAACCCCACGCAAGAATAAGGAGACACCCCAGGAGCCCTGACAGAGAAGGTCATCTCAGTACCTACAGTGGTCTTCTTAGGGACTCACCAGTGGGCTTCTCCTCACCTCAAAGTATGCCCCCCACCTGAATGTCTTCCAGGAAGGGAGGATGGGAAAAGTCAGAGTTACAGGCTCTGGTGCCCACAATTCTCCTTTGGCAGACTCTGATCTTGAAGACAGGAGAGAAGAGGTTGGCCAGTGTTCGCTGTCCTTGAGAGGCTTTCAGCATCTTGCAGTTTTTTCTTGGGATTTTAAACTCCCACACTAGGGGCTCCCTCGGGGTAGGGGCTAGTTTGCAGAAGCCAGAAAGGGGAAAGGAGTAGCTGTTACCTATGGAGCTTAGTGGTCTCAGATGCTGTAATTGAGAGTGTGAGGTACGTGATTTTAGGGGGCTGGAAAGAATGGAAGCAGCTCTTTCAGCAGCTCAGGGTTCCACATCACCCACAGCCATCTGTTTGACTAAGAGGGGGAGCTCTGGTTTCTAGGCTGATCTGGAGAGTGAAGCAAAGTGCCCTGACACTCCAGCTGTCTGTGCACCTTGGCCTAGAGGGCAGACCACTGAGTGCTCACATGCTGACCTCTTGACCTGACAGACTGCTGAGTGGGCGTTTTCAATCCCTGGGGGTGCTGCTGGCTGCCAACATTGATAAGCACTAGGCCAGAGGGGAGTCTGTGCAACTGCTGGGTAAGAGTAAGTGGGCATGAGGTCAAGAGCAATTTCTAAGGTCTAGGGACTGCCCAGGAAAAGCCCCCACTATTCTCCCATGGCCAGAGTTCCCATAGGGGAGTATACGTGAAATCAGTAGTTGTTTCTCTTAGGGACAGTTGTACCTACTTCAGAGCCAGCGTCCCACAAACCACCCCAGTATTGCACTGGCACTGAGACAAAGGCATCAGTGCCAGGCTGCCAGCTGGGAGCACTGATTATGGGAGATGCAAGAGAAAGAATGCTTTTGTCCCTAACACACACGATGGGAACCCCAGACAATGGATAGCTGTGCATAAAACAACTCCTTTGTTTTTCCCTAAATGCTTCCATCTCTTATGTCCCTACAATAATTTTTAGTGTGGAGACAAAAAATGTGTTCATTTATATAGGAATGAAGTCTGTGTAGAGATCCAGAATTGGCTTGTCGTAAGAAGTTATCTGTACCAGTAGGCTCTTTTCCCAAGAGCAAACTGTAGATTATTTGCTTGAAATTAATAAGGGTTCATCAGTTATTCATTACACGTGTAATTAGCCCAGGTAAAAACAGATGCCATTTCAATGTCCTTGACATCAATTTTTTTCACTCCAAGTTATCACCCACCCACACTGGTCTCTGCTTTCCCTACTCAAGTCTGATAAACCCCCAAGTTCCAGATGAGAAAGTGGTTTTGTCTTTGTTGGGTTTGACTGCAGACAGGCAATACTTGAGTGTTCCCATCCACAGAGGCATCTTTTAACTACAACTCTGGAACGCACTTGCACTCATCCTATGTTCTAAACCCGCTTCTTGGGTAGAACCAAGCTGGGTAACAGCACAGAAGGGAAAACTAATGAGTCACAAGATGGGAGGCAAGCACATTAGGATGAGAACCGCTCTGCTGATGCGAGTACCAATCCTGAGCAAAATCCTCCCAGCTCTTCCAACGATTGTCGTATGAGGATGACAACACAGCAAGCACTCCCATGCTGGCCTTGAGAACTGAAATCTTACTCAGGGCCATGAAAGTGGAACCTTCAAGAATGGCAGGCACAGAGAACAAAAATGGTTTTAGCTGTGCAGACCCTGGCCTGGACCTAGACAGGAGCCCTGAGAAATGGAACTCCCTTAGAGGGAGCTCAGGTTCTTCAAGCCTAAGGGATAACAGGCTCCTGAGGACAGTGCACTGGAGCCAGCACACTCAAGCCCTGGGAGCTCAGAAGGACAAGGAAGATGATAGCAGTGCCACTGTCTTGTTAATACCTTCCCAACAGGGGAGCTGGAAGCAGTGATGAGACCTAGTAATCCCACCAGCCTCTGGTCTACTGGGACCCCGGGGGCTGACAGAGTGAGCTCTAAGGCAAAGACCTGGGGTCCACAGGGTAGAAGCTCTGTTTTCCACCACAGCCCCAGCGCCCGGTACCACAGCTGGCACATATCAGGTGTTGTATACATAGTTCTCAAATAAAATGAACACCATAAGGATGGCTAATGGCACTGGAGAAAGCGAGCTCAGGGAAGAGCTCTCCCTCAGTAGGCAGGGGAACCCATACTTCAGAAGATTCTTTTATTAAAACTGGGTGACATTGATAAAGGGACAGTACAAAAAAAATTTTGGTCCATGAAAAAAACATAATTCAGTTAATAAAAAGTTATCTTCAACAGGGACACTGTGTAGGAGTACTGAGCTTCCTTCTCATGGTTTCAGCCCCAATAACAGAGGTTGCCCAGTGTCACTGGGCAGTTTTCAAGGGACAAGTGGGCTAATAGCAGGAGGGGGAAGACAGGGAGAAAATTCTGCTGTCCCCAGTATGGAACAGAGATACTGGGCTGGGGGATGTGCTCGCAGGAGCCTGAGGAGGGGGTGGGGAAGCAGGGGCTTTGTCAGTTCTGTGGGTTTTGAGCCCATGCTGAACGGAATTCCCCCTCTGTGCCCAGCTGTCTCCCACCCTGCTGTGTTGAGTCTGCGAGCCTGGGATATACTAACTCGGGGCGATACAACCTGGAAGAATCTGAGGCTCTCATGGAAAGATGCCAAACCATCTCAGTTCCAAGGGGCCAAGGTCACAAGGTCCTGCTGCTACCTGAGGGGTCTGAAGCTTTGAGGGCAGGGGCTAGGGAGTCACAATCCTGTGAGGCAGGGAGAGAGAGGAGTCACAAACCCAACTCAGAGCTATTTTCCAGCCCTAGGCGCTTTCACTCCTCAGTGCCCTAGAAGTCACTGGTGGGTGTCAACTGGGCAGACAAGGGACAGGAAGACAGGGATGGCCCAGGGCTTTTACCCGTTTGATTTTAGGCCTGTTTCTCCACAAAGGGATGGGGGAGGCAGGGTAGAGTGAATGAATGAATCACACCTTCAAGCAACAGTAGGAAGGACAGCCTCTGCCAGCAATGACAGTACCCCAGGTTAGATCTCTGGGGCTCTGACAGGGAAAGGCAAGATTCCACCACCCAAATACCCTGGGTTAGGACAGACAGGAGGGAATCCTAAAAAGAGCAGCTACAAGGAGCTGGGAGGGAGCAATTATTAAAGAACAAACTCCAATACTGATGTGGACCCCCTAAGAGGGAGCAAGAGAAGCACTGAGACAGCAGGCCAATCCAGAAGGCTGCAGACTGACCTGGGGCTCAGTGGAGCCCAAGAGCCATGGTTCCTTTAGTGCTAGAGGACAACAAGTGAAGGGAGAATTTGCTCCAAACCTGTGGAGGAAAGGAAGGAAATTGGATTTTGTTATCAGGAGAGCCAAGATCAACTAGCTTATAGAGTGCTCCCAGGCCTGAGTCTCAGAGAAAGGGATGAGGCTCCCAACTTCTGGGTCTCTGAAGGGCAGGATCAGTGTAGTTGGTCCCATTGAAGACCACCTGGCCTTAGGCCCAATCCATTCAATGCACTGATTACCACTACAGGTTCTCTCTCTAATACTATCTAGAGGTCCTATGTAGACCAGGGGAGGGTAGAGGCACGTGGGAACTTTGTGGGGCAAAGGGAAGCTGGGGGGTGGGAAGGGATGGGGTGAGAGAAGAGGGTAGTAGGTGTCTTGTAAGACAGAAATGTGAGACCCTCTTCGTTCTGGTGTTGTCCTTGAACCAACAGCATTCCCTGGAAGGCCCCAAGCAAGACCAAGGCAGGTGCTAGGAGGCAGGCAGCACAGGGCCCAAATAAAGAATCGGTGCAGCCAAATCAGGCTGTAGGAGAGGCCCTATGTATTTCGGATTCCCAGGGCTTGCTCTAATTCTTGTCGTCTCTGCTGCACCTAAGGAGAAAATAGTGAAAGGAGTGGGAGATGAGACAAACCAGGAGTTGGTAGCAAATACCACTGACCCCATCAGGGGTGCAGACCCCTTGTACAGCCCAGGCACCTACCTTGGAGTAGAAGTATCGGCACACGGCCTCCTGAGCCCAAGGCTGGAAGTAGAACTCAGCTCGGCGCTCTTCCTCTGGGTTACCCACCACATCGGTCATGGTCTGAGGGAGATGGCAGGGGATAGAGAAAGGAGAACAAACTTGTTTCCTTCCTTTACACCGTTATGGATTGACTTGTGTCCCGCCCCCCCCCCAAAGATGTCATAACCCTAACCCCCAGGACCTATGAATGTAACTTTATTTGGAAATAGGGTCTCTGCAAATGATCAAGTTAAGATGAGGTCATTAGGGTGGGCCTAATCCAATGACTGGTATCCTTTTAAGAAGGGGAAATTGGGACACAGACAGACACTCATGGAGGGAAGACAAAGTGAAGACAAATGGAAAACACCATGTGCAAACCAAGGAATGTCTCAGGCTACCACGAGTTAGGAAAGAGGCCAGGAACAGACCCTCCCTCACGACCCTCCCAAGGAACCAGCCCCTGTGGACACCACCCTGATCTCAAACTTCTAGTCTCCAGAACTGTGAAACAATAAATTTCTGTTGTATATACCACCTAGTTTGTGGTACTTTACTATGGCAGTCCTAGCAAACTACTAATTAATGTAACACCCCAAGTCACTCCCTGCTATTAACAAGTCATTGTCATGTTCAGGGATCCTCTCTGGCTCCCGTGGCCCTTTGCTCCTCTGCTCAGCCTCTACAACTGTAGTCACAGTCACTACAGGCAGGCAAGAACTAAAGTCACATTTCATGCACTCTGTGCTCATTCCTACCTTGGTGCCTGAGCCTCTAGTGCTCCCCTCTCTGGGAAAAACCTCAAATCCCAAATTCTCCAAGAAGCCTGACCCAGCTATATGAGTCTCATCGATCTCTCTTCTTCCAATTACTTATTGATACTGGTAAGTTCCAATGTCTGATATGGTTTATTACATTTTAAATCACATTAGCTTAGAATGCACACTGCTTTGAAGCAGAAATCACGTTTTCCACTCTGTATCCCCTACAGTATATTGCACAGTGACAGCAAAGTAAGTGCTAGATAAACATTTGATGATTCTGTCTCCATTCCCCTACATAACTGTAAAATGGACCCTGGATGTGCTGAAGATAATCTGGTCCCTCACTTACCCCTCTGGCTCTTCTATCAGAAGTAAAGCAAACGTGTGCCTCTCTGAACTAAATTCCTTTGCCCCTTTTCTAGGTATTTTTACCTTGAGGTCCCGGCACTGGGACTGAAGCCAGTCATTAATGAAACCCTGAGGGTCTCTGGCAAAGCTCAGCATGAACTCCCGCTGTGTTTTCAGTTGATTGATAGTTTCTATTGTCTCGTGGATCTGAAAGGAAGAAGGAATCTCGTGGTAACATTTTCAAACTGGGGAACTGCAAAGTTAAATGGAAGACAGTGTTGACATCTCCCTGTGCCACTCACAACCTACTTACAGAGTGCTGCCCAGAAATGGTGACACCGCCAGAACCCTCACCACTCCAGCACTGGGCTTTCTTTCAGGAGGTGACCTGCACTGTGCCTCTGTACACCCAATGTGAGGGAAGTTCTCATTTTAGTCTCTAGTGTCCATTCTGGGTGAAGCTACATGGTGAACACTTAATCCATAGCACAAATGAGTCTGAAACAAGTAGTATAGGCTGTCTCAAAGGCTGCAGTCCATGGATTTTTTCCCTCTACCCTCTTCTCATTCTCCATACTCCTCCTGGCAACTTCACCTACTTATATGTCTTCCATCAACACTGACAGGGTAGTATCCCCAATCTGCAAACCAGAGTCCATTTCCTAAACTCCAACCAATTTAACTACATGCCATCTTTTAAACTCTAAAATTAAATTCACCACCTTTCCCCCAATACTTGCTCCTCCCTCCAGTTCCAGTCTGAGTGAATACTAATGCCCATTCAAACTAGAAACCTGGGAGTCAACCCAATGCCTCTCCCTCCTTCACACCTTACCCCAGCACCCTCATCTGAACAGAACCCAAATCCCTTCAACTCCACCTTGACATGTCTCAAATATACCTATTCATTTCCAACCTCACCGTCAGTACTCTAAGTTTAGGCCCCCTAACATATTTCATATGTGTTATTGCACCAGCTTCCTAACTGGGCTTCCTGCCTGCAGATCTGCCTCTCTTAAAATCTGCTCTCCATCTTCCTGCAGGTGACCCTTCAAAATGCAAACAGCATCAGCCCCTCTGGTCTTGAAGACAGAGTAGTAACAAGTAATCCCTGCATCAAAACTTCTTCACTATTAAGCTCTGCTTTTCTATCCAGTTTCCTTTCCCCAAATGTCTCATCCCAGGCACCCTGGGATGCACACAAATGACTTGTATTCCTTGAACAAGCCAGACTTATCTTTGGATCCTTGGACCTTTACACACCCTGTTCACTCTTCTGGAATGTTCTCTGCCTGCCACATCCCTAAGCACTACCCTCCTCTCTTCCCCTTTGTTAACTCCCACTCTGTCCCACAAGATTTAGTTGGGGCATCATCCAGGAAAGCCTCCCTGTTCTCTTTTTAGCTTTACTTGTAGGAACTATTTCTAATAATGTTAAAAATAATAATAAGAATAGTAGCAGCAGTTACCATTTGTTTTTATGTGCCAGACACAACGTAATGCCTCTACAATATGTTGTCTCTTTCAACCCTCAGAGCAAGCTTATATAGCCATTATTTCATAGATCAAAAACTGAGGCTCAAAGCTATTAAGAGGTATAGTCAGAATCAGAACTCACGTCTGTCTGACTCCAACCGGCATCAAGCACAGTGCCTGGCACACACTGGGTGGGAATATATTTTGAATGAATACCAATAATCAAAAGGCAGCCTAGAAGCTGACAGAGGGCTGGAAGCACCCAGACTACCCAGGGCAGAGACGCCTACCTTGTTGTCTAGAGTAGCAATCTCCTGCTGGCTGGCAGTAGACAGCAGAAAAGAATTCATCTGGGTCTTCAAAGTATCATCCACTTCCACATCAATGTCGTAACAAGCCGTCTTTTTCTGATCATTCGGGTCAACACTGGGGAAGAAATCAAAGGGGCCTGGTAAAGTGCTTGTCCCCTAAAACCTAATTAATTACACAG